TTAATGCTGGGGGTAACCCTGTGATGGACTAGCATCCCATCCAGGGGGGAGTAGAAATACTCCTGGTCACTTCATACTATTGAAACCGGAGCCGAGAAGCGCCGGCCTGATGGGCCACTTGGCTCACATACAGACTTTGCCTTAACTGAGATGTCAGAAGCCCTTTCAGAATGACTTACCAAACAATGGAGCTGCACCGAGAAAAAGAATAACATATCAAGCCATGACAAGGCGAGGTGACGCAATGTATTCAATTCTCACTTTTCTCTCCATCTACCGCCTTTGTAAAGTTTACATCAAGTTTTATTAGCTATTTCAAACAGGTTACATTCCTTTCTGGAAACCCGGAAGTACATAGAAACCCAGAGTCATACAGGCGTGGATCTATCAATATCGATAATGCTATAAAGACCCTTTTTGTGTTTGAGAAATCAGTTTCAAATGATCGTTATCCAAGACATTAATAACAATAATACATTTGTAAACCGCTGTTTCCTCAATGGCTCAGCAGCACTTGGGTCAACACAACAAGGTTTTCTTTTCTTGTAAATTTATTTTGCAGCCTCCTTCCAAAAACTTTTTAAAATGTTCCGTTGCGATGGACAAAACTAGGCTGATGAGCTTTCAACGAATCGAAACCATGACCTGTAACAAATTTCGAAAAACTATCGCTCATTCAACTCTTTTTTACATCGTGTTCGTAACTTCAGTTGTTAATTTTAACATTTAAGTCCTTTGCTTTTTTATCAATTTTTTTTTCATAAATAACAAATTTAACAAGGAGACTGCCAACACATTTAGTACCAATTAATGATCAGCGAGGCCATCAACACACAAAAAAATTTCTTTCCTTCGACCTCTCTCTCGTAAAGTGAGTCGCTCGATCGGTGAGTCACGGTTAAAGAATGAAAATAAAATAAAAACCGGACAAAAGAAGTATCGACACTGACAAGCGAGCCTTGATTATATCACGGCGGTGACTGCCATTTTGCACAGAATAACTGTCATTCTGAAAGGCGTTTGAAGACGTCTTTATGTAAGATGGTTGATTTATAGATGCAGAGTCACTGGAAGATGTATCTGGAGTGTAATAAACTCAGAAACACCCGAAAATGGGAGCAAGCAATGAAACAAAACCATTTTCATGTTGCTATTTTTTTCAAAAAACTCAGAGGTCGGTCAGGCGATGGGAAATGAAACATTTTATAGGGAAGGTCCAAGAACCTTTCAACCGACAAGGGAAAACAAGAAGAAACTCAACAAGTCAAAGCAATACCACATAGAAACAAGTATCTCTAGTCATTTGTTAGTACGACCGTGACACATGCAAGAGAGCGCTGGCTAGTAAATCCAACAAATCGATGACCAATGGCTGTATAGCGCTCCCGTATGTTCAGCGTATCTCTGAAAAAACATGGTCGCTTATTGAAAAGACAACAAAATCAAACTCTCTTACAAGCCACAGTCATTTGTTTCATTTCAGTGCCGATCAGCTGAAATCTAACGTGGTATGCAAAATGAATTGCAAACAGTCCGAATTTGCATACTTTGTAAATCAGACAGATCCCTGAATAACACAAAAAATCTATTTTGATGTTCGATCAAACTGTAAAGTAGCGATCTATAGGGACAAAAGGAGCAATCAAATCTACTTTGGCAACGTTGAAGTCTTTGGACGTAAGGTAAATTTTAGGGTTGGCGAATGGTAAATGCGAGACTTTGCGAGACGACGAGACAAGCGTTTTTGTTTGCGAGCCAGGGACATTTTGACTATTTAGATTGCGAGACCGAGACTTTAAAGTGCTTTGAGTGCGAGCGCGAGACGTTCAGACTCTAGAAATTCGAGCCCCAGATTTAGTTGAGAGGTAGATTGAGCGTGTACACCCTTAGGCCAGCTTCTTGGAACTGACTGGAACTGGAAATTCGATTATAACACACTACGTGATGATATCCTAGAGAAAAATGACTGTTTTTCTGGCGCCAAAGCGGACGTTGCGGTAGGTTTTGTACCTTTTTCTGGAATTAAGACAGGTAGGCCCTACCTGTCTTAATTATCACATGTCTTAGCATTAAACGGTACCAGTTTACTAACCGTGACATGCCCCTGCAAAAATCAAGCGGGGTGGCCATTTTGGTGTCCTTACAGGAATGTGGTTTTTTTCGGCCT